TAAACTAGATTACTGAAGAGATTTAATTGAAAAAAAGGTTCATTAAATGTAATTTACTTGGTCATATTGAGTTATAATACTTAAATAATTACAATACCCTAGTTTGCATGCATATTATGGACACAATGAATTACAGGATACAAAAATGCAGTGACATATTGAGGCCAGTCAATTCTTGAACACAGTCTGCAGTCTGAGAGTCAAATCAAGGATGAAAGTGTGAGAGATTAAGGCTGGTCGCACGTATCTGTCATTATCTCTTATATAAAGCTCAACTCTATCTGTCATTTTCAGAGACAGAAATATAAGATCAATTCATTGCAAATAAACCAACAAAAAAGTCCCCTTTAACTTTAACTCAGAAATGACGTGTCTGTGATTCCAGAAATATTGTAAGGCACTGACCTTTGACCTTGGTACTGTTGTTGCGGCTGTTTCTAATAATGGTAACATAAACTTTGGCCGACTTTACAGCTGTCCTGTTGTAACCCTGCATGCAACGATTCTGTGACTTGGAGGTCATCAGATGTCTCGACTCTTGACGTCTACTGTAAAGCTGCTGTGGACAAAATCTAAATAACATACAAACAATGCTTTGACAACATTTAAATGCCTATATATATATTACCAGTATGTCAGCATGTACTGTATCTAAAAGCATCTACAAACGAAAATACAGTTGTGCTTTGAAACGTAATGTCTAAATAGTGTACAGCCACACTAGGAGCTCTCTGAAACTGTACTTAGGCACAGCAGGGATCTGAGCTAAATGCTAATGTGTGCATGCCAATGTGCTTTGGCTCATTAGCATTAAACACAGTGCAGCTGAGACTGATGTAAATGTCATTAGTTTGCCAGGGTAATTAGTCACACACTTCAACCTAATGATGACACTACTATACATACAAAGTCATCGAATCCCCAAAGTGTCTACAATTCATCCTGAAGGGAACATAACATTTCAGGGCAATTCATCCAATAACTGTGCAGACATTTCACAAAAAAAAACACATGTTAACCTCACAGTGGCGCTAGAGTGAAAGTCAAGGGTTTATCAGGGCATATTCTCTGGGGATCACAACATTTCATGGCAATCCGTCCTGTATCAACACATCGACATCGCTTTTGGACATTTCCGTTAGCATAACTAACAATCAACCAAATTGAGCAATTCTTCAACGCTACTCTTGATATACAAGTTTAAAACATCTACAACTGTTGATATGCTCACACATCAAGCTCTTCACATGACAGCTGTCCCTTCAATGCTAATCAGAGATGAGCTCTTTGAAGCTGTGTCCAACTGAGCGATCATGTTGCTCCATTTGCTTTGAACAGCGTGTGTGATATAATTAGCAGGCCAGTGGTGAGGGTACATAACAGCTTCCAAAAAGCTTCCTCAGGCAACTGTTTTTCCCCCTTGACTTCCACTCATCAACTCAAAACGTCTTGTTAGGGCAGTGGGGTTCCTCCAGGGCAGACAATCACAGATGGACTTATTTGAGACAAGGATGTGACACCTGTATTCCGTACCAAGAGATGAACTGATCTTAATTGAATGGTGGTCGTGCACCAGCTTATACTGTAGTAAATACTGATCTACGGCATATGTTTACAATTACACCCACACGCGCACTAAGACAGTTATATAATATTAGGATAATCAGTCTTAGTTGATTAGTCTGTGAGGCATATTTTGCCTGAAGCCAGCCACAGTCTAATTGAAATACCTCCATATTTAGACATGTACCTGGGCAATTATTCCTCTCAAAACTGATTAAAATGTCGAGAGGGGAGAGCGTGTGTATGTGTGTGTGTATGTGTGTGTGTGTGTGTGTGTGTGTGTGTGTGTGTGTGTGTGTGTGTGTGTGTGTGTGTGTGTGTGTGTGTGTGTGTGTGTGTGTAAATGCGTGCAGTGAAGAAGACACACAGGAGGTCATTGACAAATGGTGCTCAAAATTGGCTAGTGTGTTTCCAATTAGATAAGTGAAAGACGAGAATCATTTGCATAGATCATTAGCTTTTAAGGATATTTTTAATACAGCGTTGTGGGACAAAAACAGATGTATTCTACTGAGTCCTTTCAGCAGAAACTACAGAGAGCTGCTAATGAAATGTGCTCATGTGAGACGGAGGGATCAGAGAGGTTTTCTCCCTTTTGAGAAAACAAGACGTAATGGATTATTTCTTTGTACATCAACACGTATATACTGACATTCAAAGGAATAGTTATATTTAGACATTGAGGTTTTGGTCATACACTATTTTGCTAAATGGCCATGTGCCTGGGTTTGGATACAAATAGAAGATCAGTTGAAGATAAAACTACTTGGTGGTAAATGTGAATATTTGAAGGTGTGAATACAACTTTACAACTATTAATGATTAAACATGTTTAATGGAGATGTATCTTACCTCTTAAGATCAGCCGAGCATAACATCCTTTATGGCCTTTTAGTTGAAAAAACGTGATACTTTGCTTTTAAATTAGTGTTTTTAAATGCCCTTTTACAATATGTTTCTTAATGCTCTTAATGTCTTTCATTTTTGTAAAGCACTTTGAATTGCCTTGTGTTGAAAGGTACTATATAAATAATCTTGCCTTGCTTTGCCTTACTTTTTTTCCCCAGTAAAAATGTATTTAATTATTAATAAAGTTATTAATTTTGATTATTAAACATTGGCTAGATCTACCTTTTTTCTCAGAAACTGGATGGGATAAAACAAGTTCCCCGCAAGTTGTTCACAGCATCAAGTTTGACACAAACATGTTTTAAACAAGCATACACAGCCTGAAAATATCTAACCTTCCAATACACTAATTGCAACCATTAACTTTTACACCTGCAGAGGGCAGTGCAAGGTAAGACATTTGGGTAGGAACCCTGTATTCATGAATGCTGCTCCCCTCTAGCTATTCTTTCCGTCTCTTTGTTATTGTCCCTCATTTAAATTCTACTCCAGAGACCAGACAAACAGTGGGAGGGTAAAGAAAGATCACAAGCCATTAACAATTTCCAACACACTCACACAAACATTCACATAACACTAATAGTGGTAGTAACACTCATGTATGGTATAATGACAATGTGTCAGATCAAACCTTAAGTTGAGCAAACATCATTACGACATTACGACATCATTGCGACTGTGGCTGTGAGGGAGTGTGGTCGTCTTTCAACCAGAAGGTTGTGGGTTTGATCCCAGCCCATGCAGTCAACATGTCGATGTATCCTTGGGCAAGATACTTAACCCTGCCCAAGGATACATCGACATGTTGACTGCATGGGCTGGGATCAAACCCACAACCTTCTGGTTGAAAGACGACCACACTCCCTCACNCGGTTCGTGCGCTGTTGAAGTCTGTCGGCTGTCGCTGTCGCTAGAAGGTTCAGTCTAAGCCACCCATAGACTTAAGTCAATGCTTCATCCCTCTCACTTGGTCGATCGGAAGTGAAGTTCCGAGAACGGAATAGTCATGCTCGAGACGGCCGTAGCTTGTTGCTCCGTCTTGAACACTGTCTCTTCGGCCTAAGGCGTCGCCGCTCTGAGCTCAGCCCGTTATGACTTACCACTTTAAAGACAAAATAAATAACTGCGACGTGATTTACATGCTAGAAATAAACAGTAGACAAGGAGTGTGCAGGCGTCTATAACAAAAAAAAAATTAAAATACAGTAAAATCCACATGTACAGTTAAACGACCTTTCGGGTACGGGTGACGTCTACTTACACATACGACGGGCTCTCTTAGACCGTGCCACTACCTTGGTTATTGTCAAACGTTGAATGGACTGGTCTATCGTCTAGGACGTAGCCCACCACATAGGCGCACCATGGGCTGCCGCACTGGGCGTTTTTTTCCACTAAACGCCCACCATAAAAAAGTTGCGAAAAAGCCCAGCAAGACCCATTTGTTTCTAACTACGCCCAGCCAACGCCCACAACGATTATTTATATAAATTTGTTATTATTAAATAAATTACAAATTTAGGAGTCTGGACAGGAGGCGTCCTGGCGTATTATATTTGGAGACGTCCACGTAGGATAGACGACGACTCGCGTGGGTAAACTTACCGACCTCCAACTTCGAGAGATATCGCCTCTTACTGTCGGTAAAAGTTATTGAGAAGGAGTTCTCCTTAGGTTGCAGACCCTCCGAAAACCACAGTAGGATCTACCCTTTTACTGGTTGTAGGTCCGAAAACTCGGTTTATACGTTGACACACACAATATTACGTGCAACAGTGACGAACTATATATACGCCCAAGCCCAGCCCCAATGCCTAGAACACGGCCGCCAAGCCCAGCAACGCCCGTGATAACCGTTATAACACGAACCCGCCATTTGGACTGATGGCAATATTTGCCACGTGTGACGTCACCGCTCGTTCGGGAGTGATCGGGGGCGTACTCGGCAAACTTCGGAACCAACATCGGTTTTTAACGTATATGTCATTTAATTATGACCAAACTTTAAACATTTTTATTTATTTTTATTCTGGTGATATCTAAACTACATGTTAAAAAACACCTGTGTTAGATGCATTACATGGCCTTTAAGTATTGTCATTAAGTCAACTTTGTTTAAAATCCAACATCCGTATGAAAAGTTAGCCTTTTAATGTTTGACATTTAATTACTGCTTGAGGTCCAATCTTAAACCCTCTAAAACATATTCGTGATTTTTAGCTCCCTGAATAAATTGGACCCAATGATCCATTCCCTCATTAAGAGTGCTGTTAGTCCGAAGATCACAATCCAACCCTAGCCCACCACCTGCAATCTCTCATGACTGATAGTGTTTGCTTCCTCACCTCTCTGCTTGCAAACTGGACTGTCCTCTTTCTGCAGTTAATCTAGAAAAACCTAGACAACGTAATGTCCTCCCTCTTTTCCTGTAACAGATTGGATGTGTTTACGCTTATGGTAAACAAATATATGTTTTTATTAAGGGACGCTTCTTTTTGCTCTTCGTCTCACCAATTAATCTCTTCTACTTCATTTGTCCCCCATTACTCCGTCCCTCCTAGTGTGTGGTAAATCTCATCAGTGATCTTCAAGAGCAGATGTGCAGGTTTCAGGAAGAGATCAGCACTCGTATTCAGGAGAAACGGGCACTGGAGGAGAGGGAGGCCCAGCAGGGGCAACCCAGAGGCAGCGACCCCCCGGGCCACAGCCTGGGGGCCGGGTCAGTCAGCTCAGACCTGAGCCTGGCTGCCTCCGACCCCCTGAGGCCCGATGGAGGACAGAATGTACATGTAGGGAGACATAATGGCTGAACTTATCTTTCACTCCTTCCCCACCATTTCTTCTCTTCCTCCCTTCTCACTTTAACCGGTCCACCCATCACACGGTATTGGACATTTCCACTGAATCAAACTAACACTGCTCTTGTAGTTTCTTTGCAGAATGTCTGTGTGTGCGCTACAAGATGCTTGGGTCACTCTCTACTCTGGTTTTTGCAGACATGGATACTTTGATTGGTTTTCCAAATACTTCCATACATCTGAGGAGTTATTAAGGTTGTTGAATGAGTCAGTAACACCATAGGGAAACCTAGTAAGTAATGTGAGTGACCTACTGTAATGGTTGCATGAATATAAGAGGGCAATAGTTGCAGCTTTCTCCGCTCAACTCCTCAAGAATTTGAAGCATTTGGAAAAACACATTTCAACCACTGGCTGGTAGGGCCTTGGACCAGGCATTGTGTCATTATCCGATTTGATGTGGTTTGCTTGCATGACAGTGGTTACTTTCTCTACTAACCAAGTTGACATCTGTCCATTTCCTCCTACAATGACCAAGTGGATGGGTCATGTTACTGTACATGTCATTTAACAGTATGTTTTGGTGTGCAGGCTCGACAGCTTTAGTCTGGTTCTGCTTCCTCAGGTGTATCCTTCTCCTGTTTGCTGCACGTTGAGGTATCTTTTTCAGGAGGATGATGTTTTTATCTATTAACCACTTCAGTTCAGTCCTAGGGACCTCTATAACCACACTGATTGTCACCTGATGTTTTCATTTCCTCCCTTGTTGGCTTGTGGACAGTTCAGAAGTGTTTTTGTAAACAATGCTGTGTTTTATTTTTTCTACAGGATTTGCTTCAAGAGGTAAAGCAGCTGAAGAGAGAAGTGGAGGATTTGCAAGGCGAGAAGGGCCAGTATGAGAGAAAAATCAAAGCCACAAAGGTACATTTTAAACCAACATGTAAAACCAAATCCTCAAATCTTTATGATCAGCCAGCTGTTACACATACAGTATATACATATAGGTTATATGTTTTAGTACCTTACCCTGTATGTAATGTGGAACTCTTACTGTAAGTATCAAGGTCACAGTCGAGTAGCATCATTTTATTCTCAATTTTTCCACAATAACACCTGACATAGATATATTTGCTAAACCTGAAGTCTGTTCTGTAACTGATGAGGTGAACTTAGTTTGGTTGCACTCCAAGGCTTTATAACTGTGAACCAATAGGGTTTAAGGGGTAATTATCCCTAAACACATTGTTTGTTGTTGCAAATTGCAAACTGCCAGTGCTTCCTTCCTCCTCTCCTTTCCTCTTCTGTATCTACGAACCACTCTCTGCAGCTCTTTCTCTTCACTCTCCTTTGTATTCCCCTCATCTCATCTCTTCTCATCCGTCACATCCTCTTCCTGTGTCTCTGCTCTGTCAAGCTCTATCTCTTACTCTCTTCATGTGTGTTACCAGTCGCTCATGAGCCAGCTGTCCAGTCTGCAGCTGAAAGTGGAGCACATGCAGCTGGAGAAGCAGCAGTGGGAGGAGAGCTGCCACAGTGCACAGGTGCCCCCTCTTCCTCCTTTTCTGCTGCTTGTCTTCTTGCTCCTATTTGCCTTGTTGTTGGAATGGGGATTTTAGCACAGGGTTTGTAAAGTCCTATCTGAGCTTTCAGAGTTCTAGCCCTACCTTGATTGAATGTGGAATCATTCAGTACCTGTTTTTTTGTCCCATTGTGTAGTAGTGGGTTTTGAGGAGATGCATACATTATTAACAGCTAACCATGCTTTGAAATTAAATCAGCCCAAAGATTTGACAAATCCCATTTTATTCTACTTGACTCGATGTGGCTCTCACATAAATGACATCAACCTATAAATGAAACCTGAAATACTACTACAGTACATATACGTGTACTCTTTCTCCACAGGCCGACATATCAGAGCTGCAGCAACTCCTGGCCTCCAAAGACGCTGAGATCGAATGTCTGGAGACACAACTGATGGCAAGAGGCGGCACAGCTGACGAAAACACAGAGAGAGGTACACAGCTGACTGACCAATCACATTTGTCAGCCACATTACTGAATCATCTAATCAACATGTCTCTTTCCTTTGCTTGACTTGTATCTGACTCTTTGCCTACTGTAGAGGAGGAGTATATCAAGCAGCTGATGAACAAATGTAAGGCATGGTGTGCTGTTTCAGCTGGTCTCATTTTCAACCTAACTGCTCTGCTTATAAGCCATGTAACAATCATTTTGTCAAGATATGTTAGTTGGTTACATACAATTATTCAGTATAATGTTGTTGATCGTTTTTGTGATATCAGTTCAAATCTAAACAAATCCAGAACATAAACATGTTTAAGCCTTTTAGCCTCATCATTAGGTTTATGGTGGTGGAGTGTTTGGTTTAATTTTGTGTTGGTTGTAGTAAACTTTCCTGTTTCATTAAACCAACGTCGATAAGTCTCTCAATCCTTTCAAACCGGTCTGCTTAACATGATTTTCCAATAGTTTTATGAGTGTTGAGTAGTGCAACATGGAATGAATAAATACATAGAGGATTTTGTCCCACTTATACAATGGCTACTGTCCAGACAGTGGCATATTTTAAATCAAATTAGAAATGCTTACTTATCAAATTAGAAATGCTACTTATTAATGCTACTTATTAAGGCTTTACCAGACTAATCCTGACTAATTGTGAATTTAGACCATAGAAAAGCTCTGCATATTTAGTTGAGGTGACATTACACAGTGCTGTCAATCTCTCTCGCTGCGGCAGAACCACACACAAACCCCAGTGTTGCTGTCTGCAAAAAGGTTTATATGTTTTACCACAATGCCATCAATTGCATCTTTTACGTTAACACCCCCCTCCTCATAATTGCTGTAGCTGTAGGTTTGGTTTTTGTTCTTAATTTGTATCCCAATATTAATCTTCAAAGCTCCTTCAAAGCTATAGTGTAAGATTGTTGTAGTTCCTTTTTAAGATGTGTTTTTGCATTTGAAAGGATATGAAATGTCATGTGGTTCAGCTGTGTCTGTTTGTGTGTTTTGTGACAATATTTTAAGAGCTTATTTTGTGTAGATATTTCCTTTAGGATTCCACAGGATTACTCAGGTTGTTGGTATTTGCATTGAAGCAATACACAGCAACAATTCTATCACTGTGAAAATGTGCAGTGTGTGTGTCAAAGGTGATTGTGTGTGGCCAGTCGTGCTGTCACTATGCATTTGTTTTGCCTGTTTATTCACATTAGCATGGCAGTCATGTCTGTTGCCAACATCCAACAGGCTCCCATCAGATGCCCTAAATTACAGAGACTTGTGCTTACTGCGAGTCCCAAAATGTAATTTTCACCCCTCCTTTTTTGCTTTGTTAGACCAAGAATACCAGAGGCTGAAGGTTGGGATGGAGTCTTTGTTAGCTTCAAATGATGAAAAGGTAAATTAAACTGGGTTTACCACTATTACCATGACAAATATTTCTTTAATGTTCCGTTTAAAAGTTATTTTGAAGAAAAATAATTGGTCCCCTTATTTTACTTGATTTATATAATGTATGTGTGTATTGCTGTTAACAGGAGCGACGTATAGAGGAGCTGACCATTCTGCTTGGCCAATACAGAAAGATGAGGGAAGTCATGGCACTCACACAGGGTAAGAATTACATAATTTTCTCTTATGCAATATGAGGTTTGGATGAAGTACAATGTAAGATACAGGTTTTCTTTGTGTTTTTTGATGTATCAAGTTTGTGTTTAACCAGGGAGTAGTGATGAGGATCTGAGTGGCAGTTCAGGAGTCAGAGCCTTCACACATAAAGCACACTCTGATATTGTCAGGTCACAGGTAAGATGATCAAGTATAAACCTTTTTCCAACCTACATTCAATGCACTTTGCATATCATCCTACAGGATTCATGTCCTGTAAAACAGCTTTCTGAAAATGGACCCCCCTACACATTTACAAAAGTAAATGAACTAAATTGTATTTTGCCTTTGCATAGATGTCATCGCTGTCATCTTCTCCATTTGTGCTATCTTCTTCCCCCTACCAGAGAGGATTTGATTCTAGGTATAAACACACAAAATACACATGCAGCAAACATCTCACAAGTTGCTTATCCATTTCAGTGTTTTACCTAGCATAGATGGCGGTCAGCACTCCACTAATTAAGAGAAACAGACAGCTAGAGCACAGGAGCTCAGCAATGTACTGCTGTGGACGAAACGTGTCTCACTTATAAAAGGAGTGGCTGTGGCTTGGAATCAGAGGGTCAGTGATCCCCAGTCCCTCCGGATCTTTGGGCAAGATACTAAACCTCTAATTGCTCCTGTAGGAATTGAAAGTGTTTGCTTGTTGCTTTGCATAAAAGGGTCAGCTAAATGACATGTAATGTTGTTTAAAAGGAAAAGGTCCTTCTAAAAAAGTTCAAGTGTACACATATTTAAACAATGTTCACTGCTTTACCTCACCATCACACAGCCCTGATGGGGAACTGCAGCCTTAGGCGCATTCACACCGCAGTACTTTTCCCACAAAGGTTCATGAGAACTTAGTTCATCAGAACTCTTTAGTTCTGATGAACTAAGTACAGATTGCGTTCACACCGGAATAAATCCCTGGGGGTGGATTAGGCAAATGAAGCCGCTGACGTCACTCCTTCTTCTTCTGCTTTGGGTTTACTGGCAGGCCGCAAACAACTTCACGGCGTATACTGCCGCCCAAAATCCCCGGCCGGAAGTCCCCGGTTGTTTGGGACTGCCTTCCGAGTAAATCGCCAGAACGCCGACACCTCCTCATCTCCACCACTCCCATGTTTTATTTTGTGTTGCCATAAGTTAGTCTCTCTGCGTTTCTGC